TAATATATTATCAGAGGGAATAGAAAGGAGGTTTCTAATGATTTAATCTGAACTATATAAGTATGACTTTGCTTTTGGACAATTGATTACCCTGCCACCACATTGATTCTTAAGCGTTTGTAAAATGAAAAAACATAAAACTTGTGTGTGTGTTTTTTTTAAAAGTAACTTATGAAGTTGAGCAGGCGTAAGGAGACATAACCAGATTCAGGAGCTTCCTGGAGTTTTCTTCAAAATTCTTTCTAGGACAATAAAACTTCTTGACCGGAAAAAGGACAAGTGCCAAATTGGCATGGACTCTACTAAGTTCCTGGGATTCCAGATAGATGCTGCTGGGATCCATCCATCTGAGGCTAAGCTCAAAGCCATTCAGCAAGCCCCCAGACCTAAATCTAAGGGGGAGCTATAGGCATTCTTAGGACTATTAAACTTTTATCACTCATTTTTCCCAAACAAAGCAGCATTGGCAGAGCCATTCCACCATCTGCTAGACAACAAAAGCACCTTGGGTGTGGACAAACAATCACAACAAGGCATTCAGAGCAGTAAATCACTGCTATCTTCGAGCTCCATGTTAGCTCACTTTAACGAGAATCTGCCAGTGACATTAGCATGTGATGCCTCGCCTTATGGCATTGGAGCAGTGTTAAGTCATCGAATGCCATATGGTCATGAAGCCCCTATTGCTTACTACTACCCTATGACATCTCCAGCTGAGAGGAACTATGCTCAAATTGACAAAGAAGCTCTCGCTATTGTTGCAGGGATTAAAACATTCCATGACTTCTTATACGGGCAACCATTTATAGTTTTTACAGATCACAAGTCACTGCTTGGCCTTTTCATGGCTGACAAGCAGATTCCGCAGATCCTGTCACCAAGGATGCTGCATTGGTCAATCTTTATGGCTGCCTGTTAATACAAGCTAGTACATAAGCCTGGCAAGGAAATGGGCCATGCTGATGCACTCAGCCGAGTACCCCTGCCACAAACAGATCCAGATCCAGCCCCTACACCTTGCATCCTGGCAATCCAGGATCTTCCAGAGACACCCTTACATGTGGGAGATGTGGCCGCTGAAACTGCCACTAACAGAACACTCAGCCGTGTTCTCAACTGGGTGTTGAAGGGATGGCCAGAAAACAGACCAGGTCCAGAGTTTCAACAGTATACTTGCAGAAAATATCAGCTGTCAGCCCACAAGGGTTGCATGCTGTGGGGAAACAGAGTAATTGTCCCACCCAATTTGCAAGCCAGAATGTTAGAATCCCTGCATGAGGGACATCCAGGTATCGTAAGAATGAAAGCACTTGCAAGAAGTTACTTGTGGTGGCCTGGTCTGGACAACGACATTGAGGCTCAAGTAAGAAGCTGCCAGGTCTGCCAAGAGACCTGTCCAGAAATGCCACAGGCACTTGTGCACTGCTGGGAGACCATGGTCTTGCGTGCACATTGACTTTACAGGTCCATTTCAGGGACAGGTATTCCTCATTGTTGTGGACAGTTATTCAAAATGGTTAGAGGTAGTACCTGTCCAATCTATGACTACTGCCAGGGTCATCCAAGAACTGCACCGGCTATTTGCCACACATGGACTACCGAACGTTATTGTGTCTGACAACGTGGCACAATTAACAGCAGCAGAATTCTAGTCATTCCTTAATGCTAATATGATTAGACACACCACTTCGGCTCCGTTCCATCTAGCTTCTAATGGCCAGGCTGAATGGATGGTAAGGTCCACTAAAGACTCCCTTAAAAGACTGACTAAGGGAGACTGGAATCATCGCCTGGCAAACTTTCTTCTATGCCAGCACACAACTCCAAGCACAATGGGTTGCAGCCCAGCTGAGCTAAGTGGGGATGGCGGCTCACAATGAAGCTAGACCGCCTCCACCCTGACAGGATAGCTGCTGAAATAGTGCAACCCAAGCCTCCCCAGAATTTACAGTTGGGTGAGCATGTTTGGGCTAGGAACTATGGACAGGAGGTACCTTGGGTGGCTGCTACAGTTACAAAAGTGTCAGGACCACTATCATATGAGGTGGCTCTGGATGATGGTCGTGGGATCTGATGCCATATAGACCAGGTGCAATTTTAGTTGTTAAGGTTAATGTTATACAATGATATTATAGTCATATATATTGATTTATAGTTAGAAGTATTTTATATATATTCTTTATGCAAAAGTGGAGAAATATTATTTAAGTTATAAAAATGACAAGTACTGTAACTACAACTAAAGTTAGCAAAAAAAAAAAAAACAGTTACAAATCCCACAAATATGGCCTCTCCTTCAGGCCAAAGAATCATGTTGGGGAAAGAAAAAGAAAAAGTAGAATTGGCAATGAACCCACAGAGTTTGCAGATAACACTACAAACGATTCAAGAAACAATGATGATGACCCAAGAGGCAATAGCAAATAATCATGAAGAAATGAAAATACATCATAAAGAAATTAAGAATGATATTGGAAAAATGAGAGATGAAATTAAAAATATGAATGATAAGATATGTAATATACAACAAACAATGATGGAAAATGAGCAAAGAATTCAAAAAGTTGAAACAAAAATGGAGCTTGTTGATAGTAAAATAGAAGGGATGATACAGAAATCTGATCAAGCAAATAGGGAGTTGACTGAATCTATTGCTTTTCTGGAAATGAACAAAGCTTCGTTTTGTTTAAGATTTCAAAATATTGTTGAGGAAAAGGAGGAAGATTTGGGAGAAAAGATGGCAGAGATTTTGGCGGTGATTTTAGGCAAAGAAAAATTGGAAGTAAAAAGAGACATGGATGAAACATATAGAGTATACACAAATTATGCACGAAGGCATAGATTGGCGAGAGAGGTTCATATAAGGTTTACTAGAAGATCAATAAGGGATGAAATATATAAAAAACCAAGAGATGATTCAATAATGTATAAGGGTAAAGAAATAATTGTATTAAAACAAATACCACGTAGTATACGAAATCAGAGACGAGAATACCAATTTTTAACGACTCAATTAATTAAATATAAAGTCAAGTTTCGTTGGTTAATACCTGAAGGCATACTTTTAACTTGGCAGGAGAAAAAATACAAGATAGATACACTTGAGAAAGCACAGGACTTTTATGAGAGTTACTTTTCACAAGGAATAGAACAAGAAAGTAGGGAAGAGCCGGAGAGTAAAAGTTATGATGAAGATCTATTAGAGAAAGTTGATTGAGAGCGAGAAATACAAAAGTTGCAAGAAAGAGAAAGGTTAGAAAGAGAAGCAAAAGGAAGACTTATAGAGACAAGAAGTATAAAACAAAATAAAAACAAAAAAATAGATCAAGTCAAAAATGGGAGATGTAATTAAGCTCTTTTCTATAAATATTAATGGATTAAATATATCAAGAAAAAGAATTTAGACGTTTAACAATTTAAGGAAATTGGATGTAGATGTGATGTATCTTTAGGAAGTTTACATAAAATAGGATTATAGAAAATTACTAGCGAAAGTAAAATTTAGAAACATTATACACAATATTAGTATAAAACAAGAAAGGAGGAATTATTATATATGTCAAAGAAAAATAAAATTAAATAAATATACTTGGATGAAAAGGGGTGAATTTTAATGTTGGAAATAGTGTTAGAGTAAAAACAGTATATGCACTAAATAATATGAGAATATTTGTATGATCACGATGCTTAGATGGAATTCCGGTCGAGTCTTATAAAAAATATGAGTGTTACTACAATGAATAATGTTGGATTCCTAGTAAGTAGTAGAATATGAAAGAAGGAAAATGTAAATAAGAAACAATGGGGCAATAAGGACAAATATTTCAAAGAAGAAAGAGGGGGGAAATGTAAAGAATAGAAGAGTACTGTTACAAACTGCTGTTAACAAAAAAGGATATATTACGTCTGTATGTGTGTAACGTTTGTTGTGTTTTGTTTTGTTTGTTGGTCTAAAATAATAAATAAATAAATAAATAAATAAATAAAAAGAATTAGACTCTATTCAAGAGAGTCTATTCTATTGGCTTTCAAAAGCCAATAGAATAAAAGGGAGTAGCACAGCTAAGGAAAAGGGGGAAAAAATGGCGGACTGTGTTGTTTGGCGACCCCTGTGAAATGGTCGTTTGACCCCAAATGGGGTCCCGACCCACAGGTTGAGAACCACTGAGCTAGACCTAACCTCCTCTTTCCCTAGCATTGTGCAATAGTCTATATCTAATTCTCATTTTTTTCGCCTGCCATATGAACTTTGAAATATCCCTCTGCCATTGTTTAAATGGAATATCAATTGTGAGTATTAGTAGTGTTTGAAATAGGAAAACCATCTTTGGTAAAACATTTATCTGCAAAACATATTACAATCTCCTTATCAATTAAAATTTTAATGTGTTACCAACCCATTTTGTTTGTTGAGATGTTCTACAACTGCCTTGCTCAGTGATGCAGTTAAAGCATTGTTTTCTCAAAATAGTCATTTTAAGATCTTCAGTGAGATATGATAGTCTGATCTGGGTGAAAGCTGGAAGGGTAACAGAGTTTTGTGAATATAATTGTGGATATTTGGAGTCTTTAGTTTTTGAAATAAAATTCTCCATGTATATTTTGTATTTGCAAAATAATAAGATTCCTACAGGCAACTTTATTTCCTGGAATAGTCAAAGTGGTCACATAGTCACATGTTCATTTCTAGTAGTTTTATGGGAAAGAAAGACTCTGTCTGAGTATCCAGCCTTAACACATGCTACTTTGAATAAAATAGATCCCCCAGCTAGTCATGAAGGTTGCATGACTCCTCCTGCCCTTCAGCCCGTGACTTTTTAAGTGAATTTTAAAGAATCTTGCTTCCTTCACGGGAAACAAAGAGAATCTTTAAAATGGAGAACAGGATTCAGCCCAAAGCTTAAAACTCAACAGAAATAAAAGTTGTAATGGTCCAGACAGGGGTGGAAACATTGGTCATCACATAGTTTTAAAGCAGAATTCTTCCTCTCTTTTTTTAGGATTAATTGCCTTTTCACTTCTGCCCCAGCTAGCACAAAAAGTGAAGCTCTTTCTGTGTTTTACTCCTGCTTACACATTGAGGGGTATCACAGGGCTTCCCAAAGCACTGGGAAAAATTCCTCCTGGACTAAGAAAAGTAAGTGTATCTCTTGCTTTTATTAGTGTATTAAACTAATTAAAAAAGTTTTGAAAGAGCACACTCTCTTTTATTCAGTTTTCTGGAAAAATGTATTAGGATGCTTTGTGCATTCAGTGAGATTTATTTATCAGTAATTTTAACACAACCAATTTTTAGTAGAAAAATAGATTAATTCTAACTCATTTTTAAATTACCTTTAAAGGTTTTCTTACCACTTAAATATTGTTAAGAGGTTTAAATGTGCTTGATTTTCAGTTTTAGTTGATACTGCCTGGATATTTTAGAACAGACCTGGGCATTTTATGGCTGGTGGGCCATATCTGGTCCTTTCACTGTCCGTGTCTGGCTTGAGGAGGGGGCAGTAGCATTCAGGAGGTTGGACACTGAAGACATTTTTAGATGTAGTATTTGTATTTAACATACAGGTAGTCCTTAAAGAATGACTATAATGGAGCCCAGAATTTGCATTGTAAGTCATGATGATTGTAAATCAATGTACCCATGTGACTGGACCTAATTTTATTACTTTTTTTGTGGTGGTCATTAAGCAAAAAACACAATCATTAAGAGAACACCAAGTTAAGTGGTGAATCCACATTTTCCTATGAATGCTTTTTGCTGGAAACCATCCCCAAAAGCCAGAAACAGTCAAAACAACAGTGTAAATCATGGTCAGGTTGGTGAGCCGGTTTCTAAGTGCCCAAAATTGGTCATGTGATTGTGAATACGTGTGCAGCCATCAAAACTGAAAACAGAATTGGATCTTAAGTAGTTTTTGGGAGGTCATAAGTTTGAATGGTCTCCATGCGACTGGTCATTAAGCAAGGACTATCTGTATATATGTGAATGTACATAGAATTATAATCACAGACACACAATGCATAATTGGGCAGGCAGGCAAAGGAGGAACACTAAATATTTATGCATTTTTATTTTACAGCTAATATGGGGCAAGAAAGAATATTATCTTTTAAGTAACAGATTAAAAGCTTTCATGGCCTATGGATGTAGCTATGCCGTGTTCGATAAGCTTTGCCTTCAAGTTATCTTCTTTATGGGAGGATATAATGCAAAAAACCTAAATACAGTAAGTAAGGTTTACTTTTATTGTAATTTCTATGAGGAGGTGGGAAAGGAAGAAGAAGAAAAAAAGCAGCTTAAGTCATCCAAGCAACAATGTAGTATCTCACACTTGTTTTTCTTTTGTTACTCTAGGACACATTTTTATCTATATTTGTACAATATACTTTGAACAGCCTCTCTCCTCAATAATTAGACTATAGAATCCTGAAATAGTTGTTTTGTCAACTGAACAAACACAGAGTAAAAACTGACTCTTAGAAATCTGCTCTGAATTTGTGTCTGTAGCACCAAAACTGTGCAAATAGAGTAATTACAACTAAATATGAAATTATATTGTTGATTGATATTTGGGGATGAAAAAGTCAAAAGGATTCTTACAGGAGGACAGGAAAGCCTGCTCCCACAATATTAGTAGATATTTTTAGAGTCAATATTTGAAATTCCCATTTTATTTACTAAGAGTTTTCAATGAAGCTGTGCAATAGCTTGGGGTAAAAAAAAGCTACTGAATTAAACCATGAGGTTTCATTGCTGCAGGTGAACTTGATCCTGGGTTCCTTCAGGCTAACGTCTAGCCTAGTTTTTGCTTCCATTATATCCTGTAAAAAAAAAGTCAGGTGATCAAAGGTGATCAATTCTACATCATATGCAAGACATATAAACAAGCAACAAGATTTTCATCATTCAGTGGCAGCCACCATCTTGACTTTGTAAACTTTATATTCCTTCCCTCTCACCCCCCTCCTTTTTTTTGGTCATCACTTAAATCAGGGATGTCAAACTCGCAATTTGACTTAAATCTTGTAGGTCTGTGCTGCCAAATTTCCATCACAAATTACTTGGATGGTTCATTTCTTTTCACTTTTTTCTTTCTTTAAAATAATGTGTATCTAAAATATGTAAGGACCCACTTCAATCTCACATCTTAAGAAAGCAGAACTCTTGGAAACAATTTCTTCCAACAGGAACTTTTATTAAGAGTAGTTGATAGCAGGCATAATAGCCAAAATCTGAGGGATTTATTTACAGATTGATACTTTAAAGTGTCCCTAAGCAAACCCCACCCCACAGTTCATCCGGATGGTTCAGACCAGCCAATCCCCAGGTGTTAAGTCCATTGTGGGAAAGGGGAGATAACATCGGTCCAGCTCTGGTTGTAGCATGATGTTCAACAGCTCTTTGCACCTCCTTTTGAGATCGGAGAAATAAGCCAGGCTCTGGAGGTTTGTATTCCCCCCTTTTTCCTAGATGCTAGGTTAGGAAGAAGAAAGTTCATAGAGATGTATGCAGGAGGCAATTTGTTACATGGTAATGGGCAGCAGACACAGAGGCAATAAACAAAAGGTTACATTGTAGTGAATAGAGGAAGTGAAAGTAATAACCTCGCAGGCATATCTCCCCTCCCCCTTGGGACTATGGCAGAACTCAGGGGAAGGTGAGATTTGGTTTTAATCAGAGGAGATAGATAGAAATGAAATATAAATGGGTTTGACATCCTTCCCCCCTTAAAAATAAGAGAGATCCACCTCTAGAGAAAACAAAACAGCTATAGAGGTTAGTCTGGTTTGTTGGGATATTTTGTATGAAACTTCTTTAGTAGTTTTGATGCTCTGACATGAATGGACCCAACTCGTTTTGTGAGGAGGGAAGGTGTTTCCATGCTACTAGGTATTGAGTTGCCCTGTGATACTTCCTAGAATCTAGGATTTCTTTTATCTCGAAGTGTTGTTCTCCTTCAACCATGATTGGGGGGGGGAATTTTTGGCTGTAAGGGCGACCATTATTCTCTTTTCAGCAAGCTGCAGTGAAAAATTGGGTGTATTTATCTGAGGTTTTTGGGTAGTTCTAATTCTGCTGTTACTGGGTTTATGATTCTTTTAATTGGAAAAGGTCCTATATATTTTGGGCCAAGTTTTTTACAGGGCTGTAGGGATTTTAGGTATTTTGTAGACAAATATTAAAAACATCTTTCAGTGATTCGCTTAATATGTCTTGTAAATTTTTATAAAGCTCCACCGGGAGCCCATCTGGGCCCGATGTTTTCCCATTTTTTTTGTCGTTTTATAGCCTCTGATATCTCCATCATTGCTATTCTTTCTTATAACATAGTTTTAAATGTCTCTGAAATTTTTGGCAGTTTACTTTCTTCTAAGTATTGAGCAGTTCTCTCTCTTGAAATGTCCTCTTTATCATACAGTTCCTTATAGTATTCCTTAATTATCTTTTTTATTTCTTCATTTTTGAATTGTAAACAACATTTCCCATCTACTAAGTTATGTATTATTTTCTTCTCTTTCTGTTTTTTAAGTTTGTAGGCTAGCCATCTTCCTGGCTTATTGGCATTTTCCAAAAAGTTTTGTTTTGCTCTCTTTATCTGTTCCCCAATTTTTCTGAGTCCAGCAAATTTAGCTTGTGTTTTATTATTTCCATTTCTCTTTTCAAAGTCTTTTACTGTGGGGTTTTTTTGTAATTCTATTTCTAACTTTCCAAATTTTGTTTTTAATAGTGAATATTGCTGTCTTCTCTGTTTATTTTTCTTTGCCATATACATTATAACTATGCCTCTAAAAAATGCTTTGGCTGTGTCCCATAGGTTTTGTAATGAAGTGTCTTCTTCTTTATTTTCTTTAAAGAAGAATTCCATTTCTTTTTTTGCTAACTCTATAAATTCTTTGTCTTTTAGTATAGATTGATTTAAGGTCCATCTTGTTTTTGTTTTGTTTTTTGTATTCCTTTCCATGTCACTTTTAGAGGATTATGGTCTGCCCATATACCTATTTCTATCTCAATTTCCTGTATATCTATCCTCAATTCAGAAGTCATCCAAATCATATCAATTCTTGACCAGGATTTATGGCTATTTGAGTAAAAAGTACATTATCAGTTTTGTGGATTAATTTCTCTCCAGGCATCTTGTATTCCAATTTCCTCTGCCATATCAAAAAATATCTTAGGTAATCTTCTTCTTACGGGTTTTCCTGTTTTGTTGTTTTGTCATCCATTGTTCCATCTACTATCACATTGAAATCCCCTATTAAACAAATATTTTGGTGTTCCATTTCTATTAGTTTCCTGTGTAAGCTTTGATAAAATTGTTCTTCATTGTTATTTGGAGCATAGCTTGCCACTAACAATATTTGTTTTTGATGTAGATATATTTCAACCATTACAATTCTTCCTTCTTCATCTGAGTACACTAATTTAGAGTCTATTGCCTCTTTAACATATAAGGCAACCCCTCTTTTTTTGTTGTGCTGATGTGTAATAAAGCTTCCCAATTTTTGGGTATTCCAATAGTTTATAATGTTGTTTTTTAATGTGTGTCTCTTGTAAACAAATTATATCTGTATTTAACTTCTGGAGTTTCCTAAAAAAATTATTTCTTTTTGATAGTCCATTACATTTAACGAAAAAAATCCATTTTTTTCTCCATTTCCATTTCCGTTATTTATCTTTCGGTCTAGTTGATCTTGTATTCCTTTGTTCTCTGACAATTCCTTCCCCTTCACCCTTTTGCTCATCTTTCTCCTTCTGTTGTTCTACTTGGGCCATCTCCTTGGGCCATCTCCCGTTTGCTTATCCCCTTGTTGTTGGTGCAGTCCTTCATCCAAAGTTGCTCTGTTTCTTACTTCGAAGTCCTCTGCTTTCCAAATTGAATCCAGTCGATATCTTGTATTGTTCCAGTTTATTAAAATGCCTTCCGGCATTAGCCATCTGAAATTTGTGCCTTTGGCAATCAACTTCGTAGTTAAAAAATGGTAGTGTCTCCGAGTATCCCTTAGGTATCTGCTTTAGGACCACAATTTCTTTATTTTTGTATTGTAATGGTTCTTCTCTCACTTTTCTCAGTACTTCATCTCTTGTTGTTTTCTTGATGAATCTCACCTGTACTTCTCTTGGTAGTCTATTTTTTCTTGCATAGCTCGAATTCATGCATAATGTCTGATCTATCTCATTTTGCATATCTACTCTGTCTGCATTTAAGACCTCCGCCAGTAACTCAGTGATCACAATTTCTATGTTTTCTTCTCTATCTTCAGGAATATTTTGGAATCTGAAATAATGTTCCGCTTTTCCCATTTCTACCATTGCCATAGCCTGCTCTAGTTCTTGATTTGTTTGTTCTAATTCTTCATTTTTTTGCAATAATATTTCCACCTTTTTATCAATGTCCTCGGTTTTATTTTCCATTTCCTGGATTTTCTGTTCATTTTTAATAATTTTTTGATTTTGAGATTCAAATTGTGCTTTTATATTCAGAATTTCTTCACTTACTTTCTCCAGTTTACTTTGTGTTTCTTCATGATTTCTCTGTGTTACTTCCTGACTTTTTTGCATCATCTCTTGAATCAGTTTTAATGAAGCCTGCATTTCATCTTGAGCAGTGCTTGCTTTCTCATGTTGCAACATTGTCCCAAAAGAACTCTGAGTTGTTGGACTAGCTTTTCCAACAGAGGGCACAGAAGAGGTTTTCTTTGCGAGTCTGGTAATATTTTATGTACTCATTTTTGTGGCTCACAGGCTTAGACCAGTATCCAAAGTGTAAACAGGAGCCAGCTGTTGTAAGGCAAGTCCACCCCCTCCAGTCACGTCTTAAATCTAAAATATTCTCTTTCTCCATATAGTGTCTATTTAGTTTTAGCCAGCATCAACAAGTATAGCTATAAACAGTCTTTTCACTTGTAATCTCAAACCAAGACATGGTTTTGTTCAGAAGTTACTGTCAAGGTCATTTGTAATAGAAGCACTTCTTACTCTTTTTTTTTTCTTGGTACTGTCATTTCTTTTTTCACCATTAGATGTCCTCCTCGGCTTATTTATCAGTCTCTGATATTTTGAAACAGCTTCCCCCTTCATTATAATTAATCTTGCCACTTTTAAATAGCCTCTCTGGGGTTGTTTACTCTCTCAGCTTCTTCCCATCAGGGTCTCAACATTTTCAACCACAAGGAGAAAGAAAAGACTTCAGCTCACCCAGACTCCACTCGTTGTTGAAGATCAGCT